CAACTTCAACCTTGTTCTTCATTTTTAAAATCCATATAAATTGTTTGATAATTTTTGACATGGTGCAAATCTAGCAGTGTTAAGATCATCGATATGCGACCTTCTTTTTTTAATTAATAAGGACAACGATAACTTTTATTAACACTTTCTTTAATGACCAACTAACATTAATTCCAACCCATATTAAAACATTCATCCTACGTAACCTGCACGTGCTCTAACGACCCAGGTCATAACAACATTTAACATTTATCGCCCATTGCGGCAAATAATTTTGCAGTCTTATATAAAAAATTATTCGTGCATACACTTTATTATTTGAATTAGTCTGGTTGATATTAACTATCTCTTTAAGATAGAAAATTTGATTAATGAAACGCATTAACAATATTCCTGTTAATGAAAATCACTCTTCTTCTTCCATATATTCATAACTTCTTGCATGTTCACTAACAATGTGTTGATAAAATTCCTTGGGATATTCTGTTGTATTACAAGAACGAGGAAATTACTGTATGAATATTTAAAACAACGTAACACATCCCTTTGTCGTTCAAAAATTAACATACCTGAACCCCTGATCGTTATGGCATAACAGGCTAAGAAAATACAAATGAAACAAGAGTAAATAATATGAATAACTAATATTTGGTATAACTAGATAGAGATTGGACTCGCTGAGATCTTCACTCGGCTATTACGAGATTACTCAGGTTATCTGGGTAAATTATTGTATATTTCAGGTAACGGTTTCTACTTAGGTCCAATCTCTATAAGTAGATGAGAATTACACATTATCATAATAACCATACCATCTTCAACTTTTGATAAACTTTGGCGTATTGTATCAACCTTTCGACCTAACGGAGATCTTGGACGAACTCTAAGAATGTCAAAATCTTTTTTTTTTTTGACGTATCGAGTGAAAATAAGAGACGCTTGCGAAATTATGAACGGTGGATGAAAAGAACAATTTTGAAGTACTAACGCACCAGTCTTTATATCACGTAAGAATTGGCAGACCTTGATCACTCGATCATGATCTCCTTTTCCCACGCTATTAATAGCATATCTCATTAATTCACCTGTTAGATCAGCTAGGCCCAATACATAGTCTTCTTCCGTAATTAGTAGAAACTAAACAAATCCACGTATTTAATATTAATCAATTAACGAAATTTGTCTAATTGTAAGGTGATAAATTTCATCCGCATGCCTGAGTACCGGTTTCATCTGTAAAATCTTTTTCAACTTGTTCTTTCGTAATCAGTCGATCATTTTGCAAATATTCCAAAAATGAAATTGCTTCAATATATTCTTGTATCGAAGGAGAAATGTTTTTGTGATATCTACAAATTTAATTACGTTTTAATCAGGAAAAAAATATTTAAGTTTAATCAAACTAATCATTACCTATAATAATTAATGCCCTGCAAATCAAGGGAAATTTCTTTGAAAAGTTGAGTTATTTCTTCTTTTTTCTCATTTGCTTCTTGAAGAATAGACTTTAACGGTTTTTGAGTAACTCTTAATATAATAAAATCGTATTAAATGAATATTAGAGAATACTAATATTTCGATTAAAAGAATTATTACCTGTGTGCAAGACCAATAAGTTTTTTACTCAAAGCTGTGATATCTCTTTAACGTGGGCGAATAGTTATCAAATAGGAAAATTAATATTTGAAATTTATAGGCCTGTTAAAATATATGTATATATATAGATCATAAACCTTGACGCCTTGACAATACGCTCTCGCCTATCATACTTTGATTTCATTAATCAACTGTCAAAAAAAAAGACCTTTTAGATATGTTATTTCAACTCACATGTTGGTCTAATGAATCCCTGAAAGATTCAAATAACGACCCAATACTAACTTCACCAGAGATGTCATCAGAACTTGGCTCATTAATTATCGATGGATCCATTATTTGCAAAGAAAAGTTTACGAACGATTTCAATTTTAATAGTAATCACCTGACTAATATCAGTCACGCGTTCGTCACATCTAAAAATCCAATTTCTACGTAAATTACCTGAAATTTCATTACCCAAGACTAAAAGTCACAAACTTGGTATTCCCGTAAAAAAATGCTTTAACATATTTATTGATATATTACTGTATTAAGAAATTTCAAAATGACGAACTCTTAGCACAATGATTTTTTTTTGAATAGAGTTCTACAGTATCATAAGTCCCGACCAGTGTTGATTTTTCAATTAAAATTTACTGTGCGGATGCCGCACAATTTATAGATCTTTCTGTGCGGCAAATAAAAAAAAGAAACACGAGAAACTATTTGCAACTGTGCGCACTACTTGCAAAATGCCAATTTTCCTGTGCGGCATCCGCACATTTATTCAAAAAAAGTGTGCGCAAAATTTTGTTTCTGTGTGCTGCGCACAGTCCGCACAGTGAAAAATTAACACTGCCCTAGATACATATGTAGCTAGTTGTATCTTTATTGTAACTGTAATAGTAAAATAATTACTAATAACAAGTCCTTATGGCCAAAAAGATCACTTTAATACTGAAAAAAAAATATATATTTAAGAATTTCTTTAATACAAAAAAAAAATTTATTTTGGAGATTTTTATAAAAAAAGTAATAACATAGTATCTATAAGTATATTCATATCAGCTTCTTTAGCATCTGTTAATTTTATTTCAAGAAAAAAACAAAAATTATTAAAATTAGTATTTGCAAAATTTGTATTTTGTTGTAGCCTTTTTTTATTACTATCTAAAATAAAATCTATAAAGAATTTATAAAAAAAAGCCAAACTATTCTTTATACAGTCAGACATCAGAAAAATCTTTTTATTGCAGTTTTGTGCAGATTTGCAAAAAAATTAAATAATAAATCAAATGAAAATCTGTACAAAACTTCAAATTTGATACTATAAATACAGAAATTAAATGCAATTTTGAGCAAAACTTTAAATTCTAAAAAATTTTACAGATTTTATATAAAAAATTCTGCAAAAATATGCAAAAATACAGATTTTTGCAAATTTGTATTTACTTAATTTTCCTGATGGACCTCTCCAAATACATAGCATAGAGCTAACAAAAAACCTTGTATATAGAGAGGTATTGTATTTAGGAATATAAAATTTATAAGTAATATATAAGTTAAAACAAAGCCAAGCTATGTATTTAAAGAAGTTATATATTTAGAGAAGTTGCATTTAGAAAGATCTGACTGTACTTTTTAGTTAAAAAAAACTTTGACAAAATTATTAAATATTATTTTTAAAGAAACTAAACATGATATTGAAGCCTTAACTAACAAAAGTAAAAATTTATATCTTGTATCTGATAGATAGTCTGATTTTTACAATAGCATTAGACTAATTATATTTTGATAACCTCTAAGCTTATTTTTTTTACTATATATCTAACTAATAAAATTTGACAAAATAGTGAAGCAATTATCAAAGATCTTGAAAAAATAATTGTTGAAGTTAGCCTATCTAAAATCTTAGCTCTAATTATAAATAATGCTTCTGTTATAAAGAAAGCATAATATATATTAGAACTAAAATATTCTAAAATAGTTTTTTTAGGTTGTGTAGTATATAGCTTAAATCTTCTAATTTGTAATATCTTGAAAATTTTATAATATGTAAATATTTTAAAGAATACTAAAGAAATTGTTCTATATTTCCAATTACATCAAATTCTGATAGCTATTTTATAATAACACCAATCTGCAACATATAAATATTGTGTATTTTTAAAGTTGCTAGTTAAAACATGATAGAAATCTTTAACAATGTGTCTCAATTTATTATTACAAAATAAGCTTGCATTTAAATTAACAATTACAGAAATAGTATACAACAATTATGAAGCATTATTAGAGTTGATTAATAAAACTATTAAGGATAAAAATTTTTAGAAAAATATTAGAAATATTCTTTTAATATTAGATCAATTAATTGTTAAAATTTTGCTATTTGAAGCTAATATGCTACGGTTGGCTTTATTTTATCTTTGGTATTATAAATAGTTAGAATCTGATAGTAAATAATTTTTATATTAAAATTCAGAGGAATTTACATATAAGGGCCCAAAAAATGAAAATAATTACAAATAAAGGCCAAAAGTGAAAATAATTACATATAAGGGCCAAAATTTTGACAAGGGTCCAATTTTATTATAAAATTGCAAATTTTTAACATATGAAATTATATAAATATAATTGTCTTAACATTTAACGTACTACTTTTAATCAGTATTGCATTTATTCTCTTGATGCCTTCATGTAAAAATTAAATTATAACCACTTTTGCCGATTTTAAAAAGTAATTTTAACTTTCTCTACGAATGAAAATG